GGGAGGGGGGCAGAAGAATTTCACTAGCTGTGCCCAGAGTGGCCACCAGGGCAAGCTGGGCAGGGCTAGTCTCCAACTAGTTCGAATTAAGTGGCTACTCAGCCCTTAATTCGAACTACTTAATTCGAACTAGGCGTTAGTCCTCGTAGAACTAACAGCTGTTGGTTCAAATTAACTTTGTAGTGTAGACATACCCTATGGAATTTGCTGTGTCAGTTTGTGACCGGTTACTCCTTAACTGGTGTTATCTTTGGATGTTAACATTCCCCAACATCCCTGGGTCATCCTCCTCTGGGTCATGCTGCCCTGTGGCCCGGGCCGTCAACATTCCTCTAATCTTTTTAACATAGACACAAAACACAATCCTGTCTCTTACTTATTAAACCTGAAAGCAAAGAAGTGTATATTTAACTAGAGGGCCCTAGAGCGTGGCCTTATTAAACCTGAAATCAATATATAGAGTTGCCCAGTGTCTGTGACTCTGTAATGCTGGAACGCTGGCTGTTCCCTCTAGGCAGCGCTGTTGTCTCCAGCCATGGCGCTTGGCTGACTTCGCCGCCGCTCAGCCGGGCCGCAGCGTGGGAGCAAGAGGCATAAGTGGCCATTTGGGGTCCGTGCTCCCCATGCAGCACGAAGAGTGTGGGGCCCAAATGGCCGCTTGCTCCTGCGCGGTGGCCTGGCTGAGGAACGCAGACGTCAGCCGAGCGCCATGGTGGGAGGCAGCAGCGCCAACCAGAGGGGGTCGGGGCCTGGACGAGCGTGCGTCTCTGATGTCAGGAAAGGGCGACGGATTCAAAAGGAGGAAAGCGGCGCGGACGCGGAGGAGACAGAGAGGAGAACGGAGGAGGTGCAGGACAGCGAGAGAGAGGGAGAGAGACGCAGCAGGAGAAGGAGAAGAGAAACGCAGAGTGAGAGGCGAGAGGGGGAGAAAAGAAAAAAGAGAAGGAGAGAGAGTCACAGTTCGGATCCTGCCGACCACGCCACTGTGCCCAACCAGGCCGGGTCTGGGCACAGATGAGGGCGTCTGCTCAGGGCAAATTGCTCAAATTCAAGGCTCTCTATAGCCCCCACACTGGAGACCTTCCTAAATAGGCCACAAACCAGTCCCACAGAGCGCTTCAGCTGCCTGCCTGCTCAGGGGCCAGCCAGAAGCCTCACAAGCAAAACCTCTCTGACATTCCAGCTCTCCCTGTGCCCCAATCAGTCCTGGGCCTGCACACGGGAGAGGGGTTATAGAACACAATCTCACCTTCCCCAAACAAGTTCTGTCCAGTTCCAAGAAACCAGCCACAGATCCCTGGTCAATTTACACCTGGATCTTACCCACAAGATCACGCTGAGCCAATCCTTTAGAATCTAACATCTAAAGGTTTATTACTACCAGAAAGAAAAGCCTGAGAGTGAGGTTGTAAAAGGATCATACATTACATGCATTGAGTCTCCCAGTTCTCAATGCAGGCTCTCGGCAGAGATGTTATAACTGCTGGCTTAAAAGGCTTTGGTGTACATCCCATGCCAGGATGGGTCCACAGTTCTTTCCGGCTCCTCGATCCCTGCACTTGTGCCTCTGGGATGAAGAGCTGAGCTGAGCACCAAGATGGAGTTGGCCACATGGCCTATTTATACCCCCTCCTGGCTTCTTCCAAGCTGGAGGGAGTCCCGTGGCCAGTGGCCAGTCCCTGGAGACTTTCTCATTAGCATGTCCATGGACAAACATTCCTGGCCCATTGCTCCGCCTCGGACAGAGAATCCTTCAGCATCAACACAGAGTCCAAATTTCTAACTTCACACCCAGACATTATACAGGTATATGAAGAGCATATACAGAATCCATAGACAATAAGCTTTAGTTTGACACGTCACATGGCCCCCTTTGTACCAACTTTTGGGCAAACACCCCTCATGGGCACAGCAGTGACCTGGCTGCTCCACAGAGGTGATTGAGAGAGAACAGAAAGCCTCCATGGAGAGAGACCCTGGAGGGATGAAGCGAGAGCGGGATTTTGCAGAGGCAACCAAAACCAATGTGAAAGGCTGTTTCAGCCCTGTGAATAATTAGGGAACAAGGGAAGAAGCAGGGGGAATGCTAAGCCCCAGGCAGCATCTGTGACCAATCTAGACGCGCTTTTCCGCAAAAAAGCCCCAATCACCATTTTCGCCATTGGGGCTTTTTTGCGGAAAACAAATTTGAGCTGTCTACACTGGCCCTTTTGCGCAAAAGGGACTTTTGCCCGAACGGGAGCAGCACAGGATTTCCGCAAGAAGCACTGATTTCAGACAGTAGGAAGTCAGTGCTTTTGCGGAAATTCAAGCAGCCAGTGTAGAGAGCTGGCAAGTTTTTCCGGAAAAGCAGCTGATTTTTCAGGAAAAATTGGCCAGTCTAGACACAGCCTCTGTGTTTGCTCTTCCAGTCTTGCTCCCTTCCCAACCAACCCCACACATGTGCATCCAAAGGGGGATGCATCTAGTTTCCACGGGGAAGTCAAACAAATAGCTGGCTTTGCTCCCCAAAGCCCTAGATGGTTGGGGGCCTGCTTGTCTGGGAGCCAAGCCACTCCATTGAGATCTGTGGAAGCTCTTGACCGGAAACGCTAATTTGTACATAGCCTCCTTAAAATGTGGCACCCAGAACTGGATTCCAGGCATGACAGAGCTGGAAAAACGATTAAAAATGGGTTAGAAAACCTGGCCTGTGAGGACAAGTTGCAAAAACTGCGCACGTTTAGCCTTGAAGACTAAGTGTCAAGACTCTGACGACTGTCTTTGGAGATGTTAAGGGCTGTTATGGAGAGGACCAACACCAATTGTTTTCTACGTCTGCTGAGGGTAGGACAGGAAGTAGTGGGCTAAATATACAGCAAGGAGATTGAAGTTAGGTGTTAGGCAAACTTTCTAGCTACAGGTTGGACCTCCCTGGTCCGGCACCCTCGGGACTTGACTGGTCCTGAACCAGGGAATCTGCCGAAGATCACTGCCAGTCCCTGTGCTGCCCCCTGCTGTGGGGCAGCACTCCCAGCCCCCGGGGGGACGACTGGCAAAAGCACGTATTACCGGGATCGTGTTTTGTGGTGTCGGGAGCCATCTACTGGCTAAAGCGTGCAAGAGATCTACTATATATTTGAGTTTGTCTGTTTAAGAACTCCTCCTAACAGTAAGAGCTAGGACCACCAAATTCGGTAGACAGCTTCCTCCTGTCATAATGTACAGCAAGGTCAGGGTTCGATGGGGCCAGAACAAAGAGATGTTCCTGGAATGGGATTGCTTCTCATACAATGCAAAGGCAGGGCCCTGCTCTATGACAACCACACAGGGGCAGCCGGAGATAGGGGATGGAAAACAGGGACAGTTATGCCGTATAATGCCCACAGAGGAACAGCACGGGGATGCCAGGTCAGGCTGGGTTGTACCAGGACAATGGGAGGTGCCTGGAATGGAATTGATTGCTTCCCAGAAAACCATCCAGAAGAGAGGCAGAATCACCAAGCAGGTGAAAGGGACTGGCTGGGGGCAAGCTATGTCTAGACTGCCAGCCTTTTCTGAAAGATACTTTCAAAAAAGCCACTTTCGAAAAAGAGCATCTAGACTACAACGAGTACTTTCGAAAAAGCGAGCCGCTTTTTTGAAAGAGAGCACGCAGGCAGTCTGGATGCTCTTTCGAAAAAGCACAGTTTGCATT